ATTCAGTGTAAGCTTTTTAACCAAGGAAACACTTTTGAGATTTTCTTGCTTGATGCAAGGGTCAGCTCCTATATATGTAGACAACCCTGTTTATTGTTATGCATTTTATTTCTTTGGATTCAGAAAGTGAGATGAACATTTACCCACATTTACCTACATATACCAAAATTTACCTGGTAAATATGTGTTATATGCGGGTAAATATTGAACATCATATTTACCAAGGATTTACACATTTAGGGTAAATTGGGTAAATCCCACTTTTCGTGCAGTGTCAGTGATGTCACTCAAGAAGACTGGTCTTAAGTCTTCAGGGATAGACTCGACAGCTACTTGAGACAGCCTTAGCCAGGGAGTAAGAACGTTCTTGTCAAGATTCTTCACAATGCTGGGATCATAATCTTTGCTTTCAATGATGACTATATCTTGTGATGGCACTAACGTGTTCTGTTCCGTTGGAAGATAAAGTATTGGTTGGGATGTTTGGGATTTGAAATCGTACCACTCTTCCGGTCCATCTTCGCCACACGATAACTCGACGATACGTCCAACTGCCGCACAAGCTGTCTTCCACGGTATGGTGTCTTCACCAAGGACGGTATCTGATCCATAGCGATGCACAAGTTCGTTCAGAACGTGAGCGTACTTTGCTAGTGTTACGTTTTCTGTGGCTCCTAGACATCTGAATAAAGCCTCGTATGGTGCTAACTTTCGAAAGAGACGAAAGAGATGCCTACCAAAGACTGATCTGTCTTCATTGCTCATTTCAAAGACAACCTTTACCCCGACACCAAACTGGTGACTCGAGCCCACTTCGACGATGACACATGGGATACGAGTTAGTTTCCTACTGATGAGCTGACAGTTGTCACATACTTTTCCGGGGAGCAATGCTGTGTTTTCAAAGCAATGAGATGGAGACTTTGAACAAGACTCTTGGAGGAAGTGATAGATTCTTGGCATGATACAGCGGACATTTCTATCAACATCTCCATCATCTACTTTAGAACAGATGTTGATGCAGTTGTCTATGACATCAGTAAGAGTAGGGCTGTTCTGCACGCCCAACACTGTCTTCAGATGATCAGTGGGAGGACTTGCCCACTCTGGAAGCGCCATGGATGTGGTCCAAACTAAGGATTCCTGATCAGATGTCACGGACCCGCGAAAACAGGTGGTTTTCTTGCCCGCACTTGGATAGATATCCGTCAGATATTTGGAAGCACGGTGACACGGCATGAAACGTGTCCGTGATACCTCTTCTAGCACATCTTGAGGGTAATGCTCTTGCTTAAACATGTATGTCACCAATGCCTCGGCTAGTTGTTCAAGGCTTGAGGTGTCCACGTACTGCCTTTCATGGAACTGCTCTTCAACAGTTTTCACACACTGTAAGTATCGGCTTGGGTGCATGTTGGTCTGTAATCCGACATCCACCAAGAAGTCTATCCAAGCCTCACCACAATACGGCTTTGGAGGAAAATGAATGAAGTCCACATGATCCTTGGCTATGACAAAAAGAGGCTCGAATGGGATGTAAAACTTATCAGCGGTCACCAGTTCACCATCAATGTTGGGAATGAATGCTGTGGAGCTTAGTCTTGTCAAGAGCTGATACCTGTCTGGGCTAGCATACGGCAGAGAAGGCAGTATCTGGTCTTTGATATACGTCATGTACAATATGCGCCCTTTAGATGTCCGCAGATGAGGGAAGGCAGGGAGTACGTACTGGGTATGCAGTGTTACTTGGCTAACTGTTTTCACTCCCAACACTCTGTACAGGGCAAGCAGGGACTCATAGCGCCTGAGGACGACGCATCCAGCGTAGTGTAACAGAGTATTAATTATAGATGGAGAATTTGGTACACTAGTCTCCAATACAAGTATCTCTCTGACACCATAGATACTTATTTGCGCTCCATCCAAGGTTTGGAACACAGGGAGGCTTGTAAGAGTATCTACCAACCGGTGACTCTGTCTGATGTCGCAAATGTCTCGCTGAAGATGTAAAAGGAGGTCATTACACTCCTGGTCGTTCAAAATTCCTTCCAGACGGCGTCCCTCGTTCATGAGGACCCCAAGCACAGTTATCCCGTCTTTGCTATTTACAGGTGATGCAAGACTGCTGTGCAGGATGTCTAACCCTTGGCGGCCTAAAAGATCGCCATTCACAAAAGGACATCCCAGTTTGTTCAAGATATCCAGAACTCTGCGAGAGACTCGGGGTTCTATCGAAAAGGTCGTCTTTGCGTTAGCAAGAGAGAAAAGTGACGGTCGATTGCTGGGAATAATCTGCCAATCCCGAACGGGGGAAAGACCTTTCAGGTCCCTTGTACATTCGAGTAAGAACCTCCAGAGAAGTTTTATCCACTCCATTGTTGGTTCTGTTCTTGCCTTATCTGGACGCCAAGGGTAATGTCCTTCTGTTTTAATCAAGCATTCCCGTGGGAAGACGTTTGAATAGCGATTTGCAAGCGACGCCATGTCTTGTATGTCAAAATGCTTAAGGACTGTGCACTTTGGGTCTAGATGAAGAAGAGAATACAGCATTTGAACAAGGGACTCGTGGGCAAATAGGCACGAGTATTTCTCAGAAACAAGCCAATGGTACCTTGAAACGAACACATGTTTTTCCTTGTTGAATTTGTAGAGATTCCTGTCTTGTGCAAGAAGCAACGGAACACCATGGAGACTGGAATCTAGGCTTTTGGTCCCAATGCGAACTGGATACAAACAGTAGTCCAGAACATCCTTCAGACAGACAGCGTTTTCATCAGTAAGACAGGTATCTTGCAAGTCGGGAAGGTATCTTGCCCGTAGCCATTCGATCACTGAAACTGGAGAAAACTGTTTGACAAGGCTTCCGGCATGCAGGAAGTCTGTGTAGACATCCCCCATGTATTTTGCTTCTACAACATTGCACCCAATGAACAAGAGAACCTTTTTGGCGGCATGGCTCAGTGTGTGATCTGGACTTTCCGTACTATTCACATCGCCTCTTTCATCTTCGAACAAGCAATCACCTGGCCTTTCAAAGTACACTCCAGACTGTTCCCCCTCCACAACCACGGGCAGAAGATTTTCATTTCTGTTTGCGATGATGCGGTACACTTCAGCAGCCAGAGTGTTGAACGAAACAGCTTCTGCCCCCTTGTTTACGAACGGGAACAGTGAGCAGTACTGCTTGAGGCTTGAGTCGGAATCCTATAGAAGACTGTGGTGACAATAACATATCTCTTGCAGCTACCAGTAAGTCAAAGTAAGCCGGTGCCAACAGCTGTGTCTTCAACAGCTCATTCCACTTCCCATGAAGACCGCTGCTTGCTAAGTTTCTCCTGGATGAATCTAGGGCGAAGTGGCCGTTGATATGAACTGGAAGGCATGTCGGTTGCATTGGCAGAGGGAGGTAGCAAAACGCTTTACCATAGAATTTCTTTCTGGATTGTCTACTTTCCTCAAGCAAAGCCGCAACAGCCACACGTGGCATAATGCATTTTAGTCGGGCGAATGACAGCTCATCTGCATGGAGGTCTGGCTGCTTGTCGAATCCCACTCTCTCAGAAATGAGCCACCTACTGACAGATCCCTGCCTGCCATTCGTCTCCTCAACGTCAACTTGGTACGTTTTCTGTATTGGTGTAATAGACAAAATGTCATGTGTGCTGACTGTCTTTCGATCATCCGCCAATTGCACGTTGACATGATATACGATAGTATCACGCTTCTTCCTTGCTGCCTCGGACAGTATCTTTCTTACAACGTTGTGTTCAATGTAGTATTCATGCGTTTGACTCATTTGGGCATTTCCTTCGATTCCTTCAATGGAGGCAAATGAAACTTTCTCGATATGATTGAGAAACAAGATGGCCTGGCTAGCCTCCTCCGAAAATGAAGTCATCATGGAATGGATGTCAGTCGGGTGAAGCATTACGTCTGTAATTTTGCTTGGTGGCATTTCCTCTGACCGTAAAGGGAAGCGGAAAAGTGTAGACCCTCTTAAAGGGGCTTGATCGTCCGGCACTAGGAACGTCTCCAGGACGTCGGGAAACTTGTCTTGCAAGGTTTCTACGGGAACCAGCCGCCCTGGTTTTGTCATCTTAGCTCCCGGGACATACCGAGTGTGTGGGTCAAATATACACATCCACTGGGAGTCTGTGATGAAGGAGGGGCAGTCTGTGATATGATACACGGCGTTGAAGCCGACACCGAACTTTCCTATGGCAGAACCCTTCTCTTGTTTATTACCCTTTCCAATTTTTTGAATAGCGTCGATGTCACTCTGACTGAATGTTTTGTTGTTATATACCAGCAGAGCTGGACCCTGTAGGTGCTTCCATTCTGTGCCGAAGACCTTTTTCCCTGAATGACGCCTTGTGTCGTAGATGAATTTGACCTCTGTTGCTCCTGCATCATCTGCATTCTGCAGAAGTTCTTTGAAGATGTCAACTCCTGCAGAATACGAGTCCAGAATGCCCTTGATTCTGTCGGTCAGCTCTTCACCCTGGCCAAAATCTTCTCCGATGTCACAGAAGTCTTCAGCCGTTTGATCCACCAGCTTAGACCTCACTGTCTTCACACCAAAGAAGTGGACAGCTCGTCTATACGGAATGTCATCGTGGACATAGAGAATTGATGGGTCTTCTTCTAGCCAATTGGCGTCGTTGTATGCAAGCTGAGAGACCAATCGGAGAGCTCCGTTCCGATCTGGCAAGAAGACTTTGTTTGATGTCAATTTGATGCCAGACAAACCCATTTTGACAAGCCGAGAATGCTCTCTTTCAAGATTCTCAGCCAAGGCCAGGGCATCCTCTAGGTCACATCCGCCAAGTTGGTGGCAACCATATTCGGATGCCATGTTCTCCAGTGCATCTACAAAGTCTGCGGCCTCAAAGAACTGCCTGACTCCACAAGACCGAAGGAAAGAACTATAAGGGCGGACTTCGTCGGACACAACGCTAAGCAGCCTCATAGGTCGTCCAGGATTTTCAAAGGCCAAGTATCTTGGTGTAACAAACCCTCTATTCATGTAGATAAAGGGGGTTCCACTGTTAATGAGAGTGGTTTGCACAACATCATCACTGAAATAACATTTCTGTTTGGATGCTCTTGTACAAGCGGTTCTTTGAAGAAGGGAATAGATTGCATGGCAGAAGTTGGAAAGACTTTCTCCACGATCTCTAGGTGGTTTCTTTGCAACAATCAGCAGATGCGTCACTGCCAACCTTGCAAGATTCGTCATATTTGTCTTGTCTTCTTCCAGAGCAGGCGTAGCCTCCACGAAGTTGTACAGGAAAGTCATTTTGTTAAGCGCTTGATGAGGGTCTGTTTCGAGATACAACTTCTCAAAAGATTTTGCACGTTCCAACAACAGTTTCCACGGGAGGAAGTTCACCATCATACCAAGTTGTATGAGAGAATCGATTCTCCTTCATTTATTCAGCTCTTCGCCGTGCGGAAACCTTTGGTCTTCTTTTTCGAAAAGCATAGCAACCTTGCTTGCAGGGTGGACTAATTCACCTGGGCAGCGCAGTAAGGTACCTTGTGGAGAGCTTGGTATACAAGGGAGGTGTCTTAACGAGGAGTACGAGGTTTCCGTGGAACGTTCATTGAATACTTCATCGAGTAGATAAAGAACGAATCTGTCGAGGATCGATCTGTGATTTGACAGATACCCATGCTGCACAGCAGGATAGAAGACGTTATTGTACAACGTCTCCAAGCTGTGCGCTCTTCTCTCGACAATTTTCCCAGGGTCATTGCAAATTAGAAATCCTTGAAATACCCACGGCGGCAGATCAACAACTACATACTGCTCATATGTCCAAATGTGAAGTATCTTCAGGGCTTCATTGCCAACTGAACTCTCTCTGACAGATGGGTGCAGGAAGATGGCCTCTTCCATGGAAATCCAGTTTTGGTCCAAGGAGAATAGGACCTTCGATTGTGACCTCAAGACCTTCTCATAGAAGCAGGGAACAAGGTTATCTCGAAACAAAGGATCAATCCTTTCTGATACGTTTGGCCATATGCAAAAAGGATCACTGATACGGGATTCATAATTCCCTTCGAGTAACGCAAGATGTTGAAGAAGGGTTAGATACGCAGTGGGGATAGCGTCTTGTAGCAGGCATTCATTCCACTCCACTTCCATGGCTGGTTTCATTGTCGATCCAGATCTTTTACAGATTCCTTGTCGATTAGATAGTATGGAAAAGGGGGCATTCACGTGTATGGCCAGACCTGTGTCTTCAGGAAGAGGGAGAATACAGAATGCTTTTCCAACAATGCATTTTGGAAGATACGTTTCTGTATAGAGGGATGCTGCGACACTCGCGCAAGGTAACAGCCCATTCTCTCTGCCCTGATGAGTTTTAGCCATCCTGAGGGACTCAGCCGATCCAATGCAGGAAGAGATTAGCCACCTCGTTGGTACACATGTCCCTGCTCCTATCTCTATTCTTCTGTCGATGACTTTCACGAAGATGTCCTTTAGCATTGATGGAATTTCTGTTGGACGTTTCTTCTGTTGGCTTTTCATGTACGATGATGCTATTTGAAGGAGGCCAGGTTCTTGGCCTTCGATTCCACCTGGTAGGGGCTTCTCTATAAGACTGACTGTGCTCTTAACCTCCATCAACTCTTTGTATTTCCCCTTTGCATCTATTTCCACCACTGTCACAGAGCGAACATGCTGGGTGAAAAGTAAGAGAGTGTCGAGATTCAGGGCAAACGTGGTCAAAAGCTGAACCAATCGGTCCTGGTTGTACACTGTGCTGCTGATTTCACTACTTTGTCCCTCTTGCTCAGTACGGAAAGGAAATCGGAACAGTGTGGCTGGATACGTTTCAGAGGTGAAGATGTCACAATCAAATATGCCATCGAATGGCGCTAACTGATCACTGTAGACCCTTCGTATTTCATCTCGGTTCCATTCAATCCGGATCCCTGGTTCACTGTGATTCACCAGTGGTGACAGATGTGTTGTGTGCGGATCGAAGCAGACGAAGTAGTGCCTACTGATAAAACTTGGCACGTCTGTGATGTGGTAGACAGAGTTGAATCCCAGGCCGAACCTCCCGATTTTGTTGGTGTCTCTTTTCTTCGTCGCCCCGGAAATCTCAGTGATGTTTTCTATGTCTTCGTCTGTGAATACCTTGTTGTTGTAAGCCCAGAGTGCAGGGCCTTGGCAAACAGCCATACCGGGAGCAAGCAATGATTCTCTTGCTTGAAGGTTTTGTCTCCAGTCCACGGCAAACTTCACTTCAGTTGCACCTGCATCGTCAGCATTCTGGATGAGCTCATAAAAGATTCCAGGACCTTCTTTGTACTCATCTATGATTGTCTTAAGTCGTCTTGTGATTGGTTCCTTCTGCCCGAAGAGTTTCATGCCTGGTCCGAGAAGTGTAGGTTGAACAATTCTGTGTGTCAGAGATGGGATTCCAAGCAGGTTCGCCATGTTGGGAGAAATGCTTTGGTGTAACATTCGAAATGATCCACCCAGTCGATGGTCAAGCCCTCTCTCCCTCAGCCAGTCGCTATCACAGTACATGCAGTCCTGAGGAGGCACAAGTCTAGTCCCGCCATCGGCGTCATGCGTTGGGACTAACAGACCCTCTGCAGTACATGCTTGAGAGCAGTTTTTCGTCAGAAAGTTGATGATCTTTATGCAAAGGTCTAGTTCTAACTCTGATATGGACCTTCCCCTGTCTTCCTGGATGTCGTGCAACACCCCTACGAGATGTTCATCACCTAATGTACTGGAAACGCCCATCTTAAGGAAGAACCTTACCAGCCCTTCGTTCGAGATGAGTTGGTGAGGGAGAACAAAAAGATAAGGGCTGAGGTTGAAACTAATATCAGAATAAATAGCAGCCCTCTCGGGTGACGTGAAGGCACTCCCTTGCCAAACCCAATTTGTCAGGCCGACACGAGACAATTCGCTTTCAAGCTGTTGACGAGTTACTTGTCTATTGGCAAAGAAATGATAAATCTGAATGATCATGTCGGAAAGAGCCCCTCTCGGTGACGTGCTAGCAAGGTATGTGTCGATGACTGACTTCAAATGCAGAACAACCGACTGAATTGGTGGTGGTTTGGGCCATTTGAATGTGGACTTAAACTCTTCAGAAGGATCCCCATCTAAGATAGGCATCGTTGATCCCACGATGCCTGTCATTGTCTTATCAGCTACATTCTCCGGTCTTGCCGTTACTATGTTCTCCCCAAACCACTCTAATTCAGCAGAGTAGCCATCTGGTCTCTGTCGTCTGCAGGGCATCCACTCATAGTCTGCAAGTAAGTGTTGATCGCTTACAGTGAAACACGATGGGCTCCAATTTATATATTCGAACGCCATTTTGGCCTTTCTGATAGCAATCGACGGTTGCATCTTTGACGCCAGGCCTGCACTTGTCACTATGTCAGCGGTCGTTAGTGTAGTCTTCAGCCCTAACACCTTTAGCCTTGACAAATATGGCTCTACACAATATACCCCTGTTGGGAAGACATTCTCACTTGCAAAAAGGTCCTGGAAGTCATGATTTGTAGGGTCGAATAGTTCCGACGGCTTGGCAACTTCACCATTTTGCCGCGTAACGAAGGCAATGTTCTTGATACTATTTACAATCCTGTCACCGCTTTGGCTCTGAAGAGAGCTCAGTCTGTCAAGACCCCACGTCATTATATTCTGCACTTTTGAAAAAGGTAACGCTGGTACAAGGGGCAAAACGTCTGCGATCAAAAATTCTGACAGAGACAGTTGCTGAAGCTTTAGAAGTCTGTATATGCTCACAGAACTGCTATCACGTGAAGAGAGCAACCGACGTTTCAAGGAGACATCCTCAGGAAAGTCGTCGTTTGGCATGATCAAGGAAGTGTGTCTGGCTGAGGTAAACATAGTCGAAGCCCATGAGGCTGTACTATTCTGGCATTCCAGTATGAGAAGGTTACTCAAAACAAATGTTTGTTGTTCCGTCAAGTGGCTGCCTCCCATCGTGGCCAGGAAACCTCTCAGAAAGACTCTGTCTTCTCTGTTCAGTATGGATTCAACCGATCGTTCTAGCCCATTAAGAACGGACAATACCCCCATCGGTGTCGGTTGTACAATGTAGTATGGCACTAGTTTGTGTGAAATGAACGGAGGTAGTGGGGAGTGGACGAGGTTTACGCCAACTTTTTCCATGATGTCACAAATGCTGAGTTGTTGAGGAGATACTACGTGCCTAAACATTGCTCCAAATTCGTGAAGAGGCAAGAGGGTGATTTGCTTGCTCTGAAGATCGTTCGCTGGAAGAAGAGGCAAACCTTCAAACTGCTCAAGTGAATCAGGAAACTCTTGAGTTATCCATGTCCACGTTGTTGAGAGCCATGTCAGTGGTGGTTCTGTGCCTACCCCTGGCTGCCATAGAATCTGCCGCCAAGACCCTTGACACCAATGCTGTGGTAAGGCGTTGGGAAGAAGCCTCACAACATCGCTGGGAGTCAACTCTCGAACTTGTGTAACCCCTGTCCGTGCCAAAGCCATTAGGTGCTGAGACAACGTACGGTTGACATCATCATCAACAAGCAGTCGGGTGAGACCGGGAAGAAGACTAGCTCGGTGTCTTTTAGACGAAAGATAAACAACTGATGACATGTCTGGAACTGTAAAGCATGTGAACTCTTTTGACTTCAGAGGTAGAAGTTGTTGGCCTACCATGTCTTCGTAGAACCCATCAGACAAAGTGTACTCCAAGAGCTGAAGTTTCCTGTTTCGGGTAACATTTGATGGTAATTCAGGAATACCTTTCAGTGCTTCTCTTACCAAAGCTGGAGACACGGAATTTGGCTTGTGACCAGCTATTGCTACCACAGATCTTACATGTATTGGAAGCGTTGCAACATTGACCCCTGCAGCAAGCAGTGTTTCATCCACTGCCTCTTTGATTCCTTCGTCATTAATGTCATTATCGCAAATCTCATAGAGAGATACCCACTGCCCCCCTGAAGCCTTTGTATGGAATATGGATAGCCCGTGGACATTCATAGAAAATTGGGTAAGAAGCCCTTTCCATCTTGTCGTTACGTCTTGGAACGTATACGGCCATGAATCGTATATCAGGGACGGCAAGGTACGAGATGCGTCGATATAAACTGTGGCTTCCTCTAGTAGCTCTGCATACGCTGTAGGAATGAGACGGGTGAGCAGCAACGTGTTCCACTCTGTCGTATCGTCTCGTTGGTCAGACGATGTCCACGTCACAGACCTGCGGTTGTCGCTGAGGCCGAAGTACCCGTGGACGTGTACGGGCAGCCCGGTGGAGTTTTCTGGATCAGAAGGTAGAGGGAGGAAGCAGAAGACTCGCCCCTGTGGAGGCTTGTGTAAACTCATGGCCACCCCTACCCACGGTATGACACCTAACCGGGTACACAACTGTTGTTCTGCCGAATTATAAAGGGTATGCACTATGTTTGTTACCAGCCACTGAGTTGTCACCTCTTCCCCTTGTGCAATTTTAGTTCTTATCGTCACTGGTTCACAGCTCGTGATAGCCGTACGCCCTACAGAAACGTCGTCAAGAAATTTGACCCACTGTGGCTTGTCGCCGTGTACTTTAGTAATCGTAGTGGGAACAACTGTTTCCCTATGTGAGCCACCTCGCTCGTCAAAGGTAAGTTTCTCTATGTTCTTGAGAAATAGGAGAAGACAATCGCTGTCTTCTAGAAGTTCTCTGAAACGCTCGCGTATTCTTGCCGGCGTGTAGATGGTGTCTGACAGATCCGATGGAGCAATGCGCAAGGGGAAACGAAAAAGCGTCATTGGGTAATATCTTTCATCTCCAAGCGTGTTTAAGAAGGGAAGAAATTCCGCATACCTTCTGCACGCGTTTATCTCGAAACGACGCCCACCTTCACGAAAGGCTCTGCTTAGTGGATCCAGGATGAGAATGTAGTGTCCGCTCATCACACTTGGAACATCTAAGGGAGAAATGTAGAAGAAAACAATTTGTATTACTTTCGAATGCCTGATTGCACGACTTAAGACGTCATGGTACGAGGACACCAGGCAAAATGAACCAGAGATCAGAAGATTTGGGCCATCCGAATTGGCTCGTACTTTGTACATGTAATAGGTATTTAGAACTATAAAGTACCGTTTATTTAAAACCCTCTAGCTGCTTTTCGTTATGGAGTTTGGGACCATTCCATTTTCGGAAACCCTGAAAATCAAGCAATTAATGGCGTAAAATTACTGAAATTGCGATGTAGTAGACATTCGTCGGTCTAAAGCGACGGTCACAACCCGCCGTGCGTGCTTTTTGTCCGTACGTTTTTTTCGGAGGCTACGTCTGCTACGTTTTTTCTGAAAACGTAGGGTGACCGGCCGAGGGAGTACGTCACTCGCACGGTTGCGCAAGGTGTACGTACGTGGTCTGCACGACACGCCTGGCCGTCAGCGGTTGCGTGCATCGTACGTTGCGCAAGTGGTAAGTGAGTTGTACGTGCTTACAACGTACGATCTCTGTGCGATTGCCACGTTGCCGCGTACAGGCCGTACCTACAGGTGCGGCGTACGCACGGTTTCCTTACTCACTCGCACGTTGTAAGTGCGTGCACCTCCTGTTAACTTCATCATCACTAGCCGCCCTGGTGTCTTCCGCGTCTCGTTTCTTTGGGTCTTGCCTGGTAGTCTTCTTCTGAGCCTTCCTGGGCATCTTGGAGACGAGTTGGCAGTCGCCCGTCAAGTCGTCTTCATATACTGTAGAAATCAGGTGCGTTGCACGTGCGTTGCACGTTCGAAGCACCTGGTATGGTGCACGTGTGTTCTGCGTGGTCATTGAGCAGGTCAACTGGGAAGTGAGGAGTAAGCACGGATGACGCAAGCACCGTGCGTGGCACGCACGTGCTTCGTGCGCTGTCCGTACAGCAATTGCACGTGAGGATAGTGAAGTTAGACTCACGGAGTCCGTACGTTGCACGCTCATAGGCTGTACGGGGCACGCGCGTCGCACGTACTCGCACGCACGGGTGGTAAATCCGCAGACCGCACGTAGAAAAAGTTTTACATGCACTTAAAGTTCTACGGCGTGTCTGCGTGCTCCCAAATCCGTAGGATTCCGTACGGAGGTGGTACTCACCACGCACGGATGCCCTACGTTTGCCCACGTTTTTGCATGTAGACAGCACGCAGAAGCACGTACGGCGGGTTGTAACCGTCGCTTTACAAGACCATGAAATTGCGATGGCTACCTTGATATTTATGATAAATATATGAAAATGACATTCATATATTCAAATACCATATTGTTTATCGAGTTCCTCAGACCAAAAGTTGGAGAAAATTTTTTTTTTCAATCTGAAAATTAAGAGGGGGTACCAGGGGGTTATCAGAACCAGTGATAGCAGAATTTCTATTTCTCTGAATGCATTCATTATTAATTAAGGGACGTTATGTCACACAATCATGATCAGTGATATTGATGAATGGCCCGTTTCACCTTTGCTTGAGAGATCAACGTCTACTGCATCAACAATAAGCGACGTATAATTGGGACACATATAACGCTAAAGGGGTCTTGGAAGGGTTTTGACATGTGGACAATGACATAAATCCAGCAAATGGCGTTTCTCTGCCGTGTATAAGCTATGGCTGTTTTGGTGTAGTATGTATTTAGAAGTAAACCATGCATAAGTCAACCAATTTTACGAGATATTAGACATGTTCCTTTGGGCTCTGTACATGGAGGTTATAAGGATAGATGAAATGGATTTAAGCTAGTTTTACACATTTACACGAACACACATAGAAGACAACAATAAGTAATTCCCTTATAGAATCATCGTATGCAATCACTGTGTGGTACAAATTGAAAAGGTTCTGCGTGGGGGTTATCAGGGCTCCACATGTGATACCATATTAAACACGCAAGCCGCATATAGATGCGTACGTAGCTACACTTACTTCATATGAGCAATCTTAAACAAGACCGTAACAAAGGTAAAGAATATGAGACAATTTTAGCTACTAGTATTAAGAAATAAAAGGCACACAATGTACATTCATCAGGAGGTCAGACGAGGAAGGCCAAATGTAGCAAATCCACTCATATCCAAGGGGCCTTTCTCCCACCATAACCATCTATGTTTGTGAAAAATCTACTGGATAAAAGAGAATCTACCTAGATTACACAATTTTTTTTTAATGTTTGATATCTTAATAAAGAATTGAATTTATTCGCATATAATCAGAGAGAAGAACAATAAAATGAACATATTACAGTAAGATAGGATATGCAGGGGAAAGATAAGAAGCAATAATGCCCCCGTCACATTGTCGACGAGCTTCGGCCGTATTTGTCAATCGCCGAAAGATCGGCCGATTTTGAGATCGACCGACGATCGCGCGTATTTTTGGCTTGAAAATCGTCGCTGTCACATTGTGCGAGGCTCGGGCAATCGCTTGGCAATACATCTATGATAATGAAGTCCCTATGACAGGGCACGCAGAAGAAGCAATGCCAGTGTATCCACCACTGGCATTGCTGGTATCTATCCCAAAAATGAATAGTTTGACCAATTTTTATGTTTGACCTGTCGTTATATTTTTTAAGCAAAGTAATGGAGCGGACTGGCATAATAGAATAGAAATACAAACAGGAATTCTGTGATGAATTCAACTAAAATACTACCACAAGAGCCACAAATTTACACTACCGTCTGGTTAACACAACGACAACCTTTTCAACCAGACAAGAGTCGGCCGAAGCTCACTCGACACACGGGCGTACGTCGCCCGAGTTACGGTCGACGATCTATCGATGCTCGCACGATCTCTAGACCATTCAACCATAACGTACAACAAGACATGATGATTATCATTATATCAAAATCTTTTTATACACGCGTACCTGAACAAAGCTAATAAGATATATTGTTCTAAAACTTTGCCTGAATACTTCTGTCTAAAATAGTATGAATCTTCCGGTAAACAAGCCATTCAATGTCAACAAAGTAGACAGAGGTAAAAAGACCCATGCAATATAAACTTCAACTAGTAAGTAATATCTATCACATGACGTTCTTGTGGGCACCCTAAGAAAAAAGTCAACCTCATTCCAGGATGAACAAGTGTAAACGTCAATTTATTATACAATCATCTGAAATAAGGCCACACACTTCCTAAAGGGACAAGAGTAAAGAATTTCATGATTGTGCGTTCAATCAGTTGAGGTCAAAATCTAGGCATTTGGCCTAACATAGTTAAAACCTCGTTATCTTTTTAAAGTGGATTTGTTTATTAACGAATGTTGATTTAACAAAAGGACAAAAGGACGATTTTGTCTATTTTTGGCGACGCCTCAGGGGGGAGCCTAATGGTACAGTATTGTGTGCAGTTTGCAAGAATTCTAGGAATGGTACAGGCATTTTTTTCCACAGGAATGGAATGTCTACAGGCATGTCTGGGATTTTGCTGACACACATCTATGCCCACATTCCTATGTAGTGAATTTCCAAGAAACCCTTGGGACATTGTGGAAATTGTACAGATTCACAACTGAGCAGACACATGCTGATTTACATCCCTGTCCACTCCCATGCAACATTATCTAGCTCATATAGCTATAGCTCCCATGATGTTAATGATGTAAGCAGTAAGTGAGTTTTCTGAATATGTGTAGAACATCTTCCCCTACGTATCATCGACAGTCTTCAACTCTGCTGCATTTGAACAGGTACTATATCTTTCTCTCTATAATAATTGAGAAGTTTATTGCAAATTCATGCCCGGAGGTTAATTGCCAGTTACAAATATAAAAGAACATTGAAGAACAGTATATAAAATAACTAAAATCCACATAATGAAAGGTAGTTGTCTAAAATTATAGCTACGTCTAAGTCTAAAACTATGTCTGAAGGGTTTGACTTCTCTTTTATAACTGTAGAAGACACGTGTAACGTTATATCTGTAAGTCTCCTTCTCAGCATTCCCCCAACATGTTCAGGGTCACAATGTGAGTTATCAGAATGCCACAAAGAGGAGTATCCATTATGATCTAATACCGGTATGTCTTTAACACGTTGCAATAAAGTTTGTCTACGGGTATTTGTAGGGAGTGTGAGGTTGTGTCCATTTGGACCAAGCATAACCAGAATTTAACTACTAGTATATCTATATACAAATATCTGTATCTAAAGGAAGTCTACCTAATTCTGCTCTACAGGCGACATTGCTTACTATTTCTAAATACACCAAGAACATTTTTACAGAATTGGTTGTGTACATTTTCGATAGGTGAGGTCTCATATGTAGTTTAATATAATATTTCTTGTGGACATCAGATATTGACGTTCAACTTGATAGGTTGTTAACGTTGGGTAAGCATAACCAAATCCTTCGACTAGATCAATTTTGTTATAGGACAATTATTCCCCGGGTAATCATTCTCAATGGCAGATTATTTCCTGTACATTTAATAGTCCTTTATAACAGACAAGTTTACATTGAAAAATTAAAATCACACAAATCTATCACAGTTCCAACAACAGAGGAAGATTTTTACTTTTTACGATCGACACAGGTGTCCTATAGGGCTCTTTTTATTCATAAATACATTGGATGTTGTATTACCTTCTAAGGATTGCCAGGCCGTAAGAAGCACGTGGAAGGTCCCCATTTGGACAACCACACAGAAATGAAAACTAGCCCTTGTAGTGGTGAAACAGACCGCCGTGTTTCCCTGATGGGATCGGAAAACACCTCTAAGCTGACCCGCTGAGACTGGTTACCAGGCTTATAATCTCTGAACTCAGGCCGCAAATCTGTACCTCCCTGTGATGACTGCCTCAAACCAAGCCAAAGTGATCTCTCTTTCCAGCCGACAATCAGTCTGCTTTCCTCACATACCTACAATCATACCCACATTCCTTTCCCACATGCCTTTCAAGTGTATGTCCTACATTCTGACATTCTGGT